TATCTTTTAAAAAAGAACATCATATCTCCATTTTGTAACTGCAGAAAGGTCTTGTCACAAACAACACACAATTGAATATAAGTATCCAATCACACTTTATTCAAAAGTTATGGGCTGTGATATCTACAGTATGACAGACAGATAGACTGATAGACAGACACCTTACAAAATTATCACTAAGTTTGCTAAAACTTGGATTCCCTATTGTAGCCCCGCCCTACCCCCGGGGGTCATGATTTGAACAATTTAGAATCTACACTACCCCAGGATGCTTCCACATAAGTTTCAGCTTTTCAGGCCCAGTGGTTCTTGAGAAGATTTTTAAAGATTTTTCCTATATATTTCAATGTAAAACTTGGATTTCCTATTGTGGCCCCGCCCTACCCCCGGGGGTCATGATTTGAATAATTTAGAATCTACACTTCCCCAGGATGCTTCCAAGTAAGTTTCGGCTTTTCTGGTCCATTGGTTCTTGAGAAGAAGATTTTTAAAGATTTTTACTACATATTTCAATGTAAAACTTGGATTCCCTATTGTGGCCCCGCCCTACCCTCGGGGGTCATGATTTGAACAATTTAGAATTTACACCACCCCAGGATGCTTCCACATAAGTTTCATCTTTTCTGGCCCAGTGGTTCTTGAGAAGATTTCTTAATGACCCCACCCAATTTTTGTATTTTCTTGATTATCTCCCCTTTGAAAGGGATTTGGCCCTTCATTTTAACAATTTAAACTCCCCTTCATCCAAGGTTGCTTTGTACCAAGTTTGGTTAAAATTGGCCCAGTGGTTCTTGAGAAGAAGTCGAAAATGTGAAAAGTTTACAGACGGACGGACAGCTAGACGGACGACGGACAACGGGTGATCAGAAAAGCTCACTTGAGCTTTCAGCTCAGGTGAGCTAAAAAGAAATTGCAAGGATATCCTGGTTTCGTGTACATATTACACTCTTTGTTGTCACCACTTACATTACATTTTGTACTTTCTTCTTGTTCCATTTCTGCAGAAGCTGTTACCATTTTTTGTACCAGTTCTTTCCTGCAGTTGGTGCATACTCCTGCAAAAATTATGAAAATGCAAAAATTTTGAATGCATGCACAAAAATTAATGAAGCAGAGCCTCCCTTCTTTCTGCATCAGCACAGTCCAGGAAATACATTTACTTACTTTCAAACAAAAGACATGATAGAAAATAATATTTTACCAAAACAGACATACAAACTGATAATTTGCTTCAAGATACACAATACAACATATTTGCATGTACTTGTCTGTCAGACAAAGGAACAGAGAGACAAGGTGATTGCAATAAAATCCCTTTCTTACCAAAATAAGTGTTTGAGAACACGAATGCCCCTGCTAAACACATGCTCAAGCATTGAGACAAAGTGATCCCTACATGCTTCTGCTGGCTAACAGCAGGCATAATGAAAATGCATTATATTGTAGTTATACTAAAAAGAAAAACATCAGCAAACCTGAACCAATTTGTATAAGGACATCATGATGTTTCTTGAGAAAGAATGATTGTTCTTTTGTAATGGTTCCTTGCTCCGGCTCTTTTTGGCACATTTCCATCCTAAGGAACACATCTTGCTTGATCTCCACCCAACCCCAAGAATGTATCTATAATTCAAGAACAGTTTAAAAATAATTAACACAAGCAATCTGGAATGCACTTGTGTATATGACATTTTATAAAGGCAAAAATCATTATAATGTTGATGTAGGGCAACATATCAAAATAAAATAAACAAGTGTTTTAGAATACAATATATATTGCATGCTCAAGAAGCTTGTATATTTACCAGAAATTACATACATAATACATGTAACGTATACAAATGTATAGTGTAATACCTGTGTTTTGGGCAGATGGTAAGTGTTTCATCGTCCTCATTCAAAAGGCCTGCCCTCGTCTTTATTAAGTCACATTCATTTTGTATACTTCTGCGATTGATGGAAAGCTTCTGCAGATGTGAATCTACAGAATTTTGGCAGCAGGTCAAGGGTAATATTTTTTCGGGCCAAGTCTTCTTGTAATCAATCAGTCCACATCCAGAGGTTGATGATGATCTGAAACTGCACACAAACTGAGTCACACTTAGAAAACAATACACAACTATGATGAAGATCAACTATTTTTACAAAATTTGAATTGAAAATCCGTTGAAAATTTTTTTAAGAAAATTCGGTGAACTAAAACACTGATATTAAAAGTCATGAAGGGCTCCATTGGAAAATTTCTGATAGAACAAAGTATAGTTTTTGTGGAATGTGGTTTTTGACAAGGTCTAATTGTGATTTGAGGCTTGATCTTTGACCTCAAAATGTACCGATGTCTTCCTCTCATCACCCATGATGAATGTGTGACAAAAAACCATTAAAGATGATATAGCCCATGGTGAAGCTTTAGTTGAAGTGAAGAATTACCTAAACATATAATTCAGAATTTTAAGGTAAAGATCAAATACCAAGGTTTATGTCAGATTTGAACATGCCATTCAGTAGATTTCATCACGGTCTATTTACATGTGATAATTGAAACTAATTTACCTTATGGTTTTTTCACAAAAGAGCTAAATGTAAAATTCAGAAGTTCAAGGTCAAATATCTAGGTCAAGGTCAGAAGTGAACATGCCATTTAATAGATCTCGGCACGGTCTATCTACTTGTACTGTTTGAAACCAATCAACAAGTTGGGCACAACACCACAAATGCGAGAGTATCCCAATTGCAAGGCTGTCACTGTTTTGCAAGATGAATTTCAACAAAATTTGTCCGCTTTATAATAAAAAATTAAATGTCCGAATTTTGTTCTCCAAGTTATAAAGGCTCATCTTTAGGACATACTGAAAAATGTTTACAAAAAGCATTCATGCATTTCATGTACAGTTTTCGCGATTATAGCTGCACATGTTCTGCAGCTGTAATCTCGAAAACGGCAAATTTACAAATGTTCTTCTTTTGTAAACATTGTTTAGTAAAGAAATAATGTATCACTTTTAAACATCTATCGGGATATAAATACAGGTTGGTCACATTATTACTTATATTTACATTTATGACTCATTCATATTTTATATTTTCCTGATTACAATATTTAACGCGTGAAAAATTTTATTTTTCAAACTCAACGGCACGTACTTGATCCATTGATTGTGCGTCGACCTTTTATGATGTCACTGAGAAATTATGTCGAATGTTTATGACGCGAGGAACCGTGTTTATAGGGATAAAGATACGCGTTGCTCTTAATAGTGTTATACAAAAGAAAACATTTGCAAATGTAAATATTATATCATAAACATGAACCCTTTTAACTTTGAGATCAAAATTAGGAAATTTATTTTTTTAGTACTTGAAAAACTGACAAATATGGCTGAAATTCATCTTGCAAAACAGACACATGCAGTCTCACATTTGCGGAATAGTCTCGTATTCAGCAATTGTGCCCAACCTGATCAAGGGCGTAGGAGGAATAGCACCCCCCCCCTCCCACTTTTAGGGTCAGGAGCAAATTTTGAAACCAGAGTTGAGTCTGTTATCCTAGTTGCCCTCCCCCTTTTCGAATCAATATTAGCCACCTAAAGTTTTGTCAACTTGTTGGGTGCTGATATCTTAACATCATATTTTGGTGTACTGGATCTGGAATAACAGACTGCTGTTGTCGAATGCAAATGAATGCTATACTGTACAGGTATTAAATGAGGTATACCGGGTATGACTATGAATTTTATGAAATATTGTTTGAAATATTACTTGTCAATAGAACAGTAACATACAGACATACAGGAGTGGAAATCTACCAATTTGACCTTATCAGTGATTAATGAATATGCTCTAAATAATATAGTCCGAAATATCTGGCGTTTTCCAGGCTTTTTGATATTTTATGTGCCAGGAAAACGTCAGAACCAGCGCAATTACAAAAACTGGAAATTTCGCCGTCTCCAGTCAGAGTTGATTTTCCATACCTGGGAACCGAATTAAATGCCATTGTCACAATTTATCAGTGGCACAATGCTTCTAGTACTCGACAATATCGATGAAAAGAAAACATCACTCATCATTCCGATACAGGACTTGAAAAAAAAATTTTAAATGTGTAAATGCACGAAATGAAAACAAATCTCGAAAGTCAGATAAAATGTTTCCATCGGATTATATATTTTATAAACAAACCATAAAAACGATGTTGGTGAGTACTAGAAGCATTGTACTATTGATAAATTGGTACACCGGTTCTGACGTTGTCCTTGCACATAAAATATAAAAATAGTAAGAAAGACAGGAAAACGTCAGATATTTCAGACTATAAATAATACTTTTCAGTCACTTACAATCGCTTGATGCAGTCATGTCCTCTGTAACCGCACAAAACCTGCTTACATCTTCTTCGACTTCTGCTGCAACTCCAACTTTGTGTTAGTCATCAGCAAGAGAGTTCCACAAAGGGGAGATAATCTGTTTACGCGCTTTCATATTTATGATACTTTCTAAATCAAATTATTTGCTGTAGAGTATCCAACTACCTTTTTTTATTATTGGATTTATAACTTCAAAGCTCATAGTTCCTATTGCATGTATGATTATGATGGAGTTTGGTTGCGTTTTTGCATAAAATATTTATAAAAATTATGCTGATTTTACAGCATTTGGTAGAAACAAAGCAAAGTAGGCCCCAATGCTTTAAAATAAATATGGGAAAAATTAAATCTGCCTTATATATTGAAATTAAGAAAAACATAGTTTAATTCTGTAATTAATTTTGACAGGGTTATCAATAATCAAATTTCCCACCTTTCAAGCATTTAAATCGCCGTTGCTATGGTAACAAGAAACATGTGACCCAAATAACTCATGTTTGAAAGGACATTCATCTATGCTTCCATGCACCCAAATATTAAAGCAAAATAATTTTTTTCACATTCCACTCATTTTATATACAATACTCAATGGTTACTGACACGGCCTCTTAATGAAATAATATTATTTGCTAGATATTGACGAATGTTCTGATGAACCTTGCCAGAATTATGGAACTTGTGTGGACCTCATCAATGGTTACGAATGTCTTTGTATTCCTGGATTCAATGAAACAAACTGCACAAATGGTGATTGTATACCAGTGCTAGTTGAAGTCATTTTAGAAAAAGTCTTATAGATGTAGTTTATTTCCACATGGTACATATCAACGAGAAATGAACGGTTAAAAAAATCGCGGAACTTTTTACAGGTGTACTTAAAGCCATTTCTTTCAAATGTTAATACGGTTTATAGTTTATTGGAGTTTTGACGAAATGTATTCCAATGTTACTAAATGTGATTGAGAGTCAGAATAACCAAGCAGTCGACAAATTTTGAAACATTTATGTTCATTTTTGTTATTTCTCTTAAAATTGATATCATTAAAATCAAAAGAATGTGCATATATTTTACAATTACTAGTCATTTTGGATGTATATTCATTGTACGGATGTACTCGTGGTCTTTTACCACCTGTCAAATAGAACCCAAACATTTCAGATACGTGCACTGGTTTAGTGCATCAGAAGTGACTTTTGTCATCTTGATGTAATAAAACAAAACAAAAATATTTTCAGTATCAATTATTTTTGTATTTTAAATTGAAAACAAAATGAAAAAAAAATCAATGTAAGTAAACGCATAATGTGCACTTAGCTAGAATTAAAAATGAAAAAAAAATCTATGTAATAAACACACAATGTACATTTAGCTAAAATTAAAACAAAAGTGTGATCAACGAACTGCTTTTAAATAGCAAGTCTGAGTTGAAGTAAAAGTTCACAATATCAAAATGTACCCAGAAATACACTGAAAGCTGTGAGTATATAATTCAATATAATTCAAGTGAAACAACTGTGAAAGATTTTTCCAGATGAATTGATTTGAAAATTACTTTAGTTATAAATGAGTGATATGATTGGCTGCTGATTTAAAAACGGAATATTTTCTTATCAAACAAATCTCTATCAAATTGATGCTTTTCAAGGATTATTGTCGCCATGAGTTGCGACTCAGCTAGAACTTGTGAGCTCGTGTTAGTCGAGTGTATCGCTTAGCACATAATTGTAATGAAATCAATACAAAGAGGTCTGAAAGACTTTTTTATCCATTGTCGCATGAAATTTTGGACTCGTTTCTGAAAGTGGAAACCTTATTATTGGGACTTTTGACCCAGAAGAACCACATCTACAGTATATTTATATTGATCAAATGATTATCTATTGATAATTATTAATCTATTGATTAGCAGACCTATTTTTGTATTCATATGAAGCTGAATTTATTCAAAACCTTATTCATTAGAAAAAGAAATCTCTTGCTGTGGCCTTCAACTCGACATTTAGATACATCGACAACGTATTATCAATTAACAATAATTATTTCCATTCATATGTCGACACGATATATCCCAGTGAGCTTGAAATAAGAGATACCACAGAGTCTGACACATCTGTTTCATATCAAATATTTTACTTGAAAAAGACGTTAATGGTAATCTTACAACAAAGTTTTATGATAAACGTGATGACTTTAACTTTTTAATCGTCAACATCCCTTATTTATGCAGCAATATACCCTTATCAGCTGCATGTGGGGTGTATTTCTCTCAGTTAATTCGATACGCAAGAGCATGCTCTACTTATGAACAATTTCTAAAAAGAAGTAAGTTATTGACAAACAAGTTGATGAAACAAGAATAAATTCTCGTTTAAAGTCATCATTTCGTAAGATCTATGGTCGATACAATGCCCTTGTCAGCAAGTACAATCTTTAATTAAGTGATATGCTGACTGACGTTCTTCATACTAATTGTTAGGCCATTATTTACACACTGAATTGTCGGTGGATTTTTCCGTTATTTCCCGATCACGACAAGGAGCACACGGCGGGTCCGGTCGGCAGGGGATGCTCACTCCTCCATGGCACCTGATCCCACCTCTGATGTTTTTGGATGTCCGTGTTTGCTCTGCTTCCGATTTGTATAGTATTAATGGACTTTGAATAATGTTCGTTATCTCCGTATTTCATCAAAATTCCGTAAATGATACGATATGTACATGATGCCTATTTGTACCACGTAAATATTTAGAAAAACACATTTCACTTGATTGGTTTTAATAGATATCAAGGAATGTGTAGATGAACCTTGTCAAAGTAATGGAACATGACCTCATTAACAACTAGGAATGTAAATGTGTTACCAACTGCGAGGAAAGTAAGTAAAAAAATGAATGACGACAAATAAAACCATTTCAAAATTATTTGTTACAGATATTGATGAATGTGCTGAAAATCCATGTCAGAACAATGGAACATGTGAGGACCTCATCAATGATTTCAACTGTAGCTGTATTCCAGGATTTAATGGAACTCACTGCCAGGAGAGTAAGTAAATGAAATAAATTACGACAAATAAACTTTTAATTGCATTTCCAAACTTGTAATGCTGTAATTTATCTATTTGTATCAGAGCAGTATTACAAAAAGATGATTTTAGGCTATGATGTTATTTATTGTTTATTACTTGAAGATAGAACTGGAAGTTTACGAGAGATTCTGAAAAACAATATAAAGCATATCATATAAATTGGATATCACATTAAACAGCAGATTCTAGTATCATCATAAAAACATATGCTTTCTATATAATATTAGGTAAAAAAAAAAATACTGACACATGTCAAAGTGTTATTTCTCTTGACTTTAAATACAAAATAGTAATAATAAATATTTACCTTTTATACATGTACATGTAGCTACATTTATTACATTTTCAACAGTGAAATACAGTGCTTTATTGATTGAATTTTAGCAACAGTGAAATACTGTGATTTATTGATTGAATTTTAGTGATATTCTCTCACAGTATGAAAGGATACCAAAGTTATATTCCCTCACTGTGTGAAAGGATATCAAAGAAAGTAAGAAATAATGTCTGTTCTGTCATAAGATAGAGATAGTAACTAAACCGTTTTCATAGAGACTAAAACCGCCAAGTGCTAAAATCCATGTAACAATGCTTTTAATCTTACAATTGCTAAGTTATGACGTCTCAACTGCTCAATTATGACGTCAAAGCCTATGACACAGTGTTAAGAAAAGACAGAGGCAAAAGGAAAATGTAATAAACAGAAAATTCAATGTTTTGTAGTTGGATATGGAATTTATTTTACTTGTGAGACAGGATTTTTTAAAATATATTTTGTGCTTCACACTCGTGAAAATATCAAAATATCCTGTCCCAGTCGTGAAATAAATTCAATATCCAACTACAACACATTGAATATCCGCTATATATATACCAAACAATAGGTTTGAATCCTAATTGATTATATGTACAGTAGTCTATGTCTTGTTCTGGATTATCTACAATTCATAACATTTATACACTAAATATCCCTTGTGTCATAAAAACATTTCGTTTATTGCAAAGTTTCAAATAGTCCATCAGCTTTGACAAACTTAAATATAAATGATTAAATAAATTTCCTCATATGCCTCATTCATTCAAACAATTATTAATGTGAATTAATAAATAATTAATAGTAAACAAGTGTCAAAAAGTCAACTCACTGTTAGTGGACTCCCGGACTACTATTAAGCTGGACACTCTGGACAAAGGAGTTAGAGGTTTTGGAGAGAAAATATTAACCAATGATTATTTTTATTTATTTTTTCAAGGTTAAAAGTTCAGATGTAATCTAAGAACTCTGGCGATTTCTAGACTATAAGTACAGAGAGTGATTATGAATTATTTAAATATTTAATATTAAAATTAAGCATATTTATTTTAAATCTTGAATTGAAAGTTATTTTTAACTTTCAAAGGCATTTGAAAATAAAAATACTATTAATTAAAATCAATATAAAATCATGCCTATCACACATATAATAAAATTGACATTTTTACTGTGAAAAAATCAAATGTGCTTCAATACTCCCGAGTTTCTTTCCCTTCATGAAATTGTTATAAAGAAAAAAAGCACACTCGTCATAAGATAGCTAAAGTTTATGAACCATCTTGAAACGGAGTAAAACAATCAACATTTTTGCAAGTAATTGTTTATTCCGTGTTTTCAACCTCAATCTCACAATTGCTTAGCTACAACCGCTTAACTATGGGCTCACAGCCTACGAAACTACGTCACGAAAAAACAGAAGCAGAAAAAAATATCAGAAGTAGAAACTGTAATACACAGGAAATTCAATGTTCTGTAGTTGGATACGGAATTTATTTACTTGTGAGAACAAGATTTTTTTTTTTAAATTTTCACTTGCGCTTCCTACTCTTGAAAATATTTGAAAAAATATTGTCCCATTTATCAAATAAATTACATATCCAACTGCAAAATATTGAATATCTTCTACTTTAAAGACAGATACGTTTTACAATATATATGTTACAGATATTGATGAGTGTGCTGACAATCCATGTCAGAACAATGGAACATGTGTAGACCTCATCAACGATTACCAATGTGACTGTATTCCAGGATTTAATGGAACTGACTGTGAGGAGAGTAAGTAAATGTAATAATAACATCGAATAAAACTTTTTCAAACTCAAGTATATCTTACATAATACATTTGTTACAGATATTGATGAATGTGCTGAAAATCCATGTCAGAACAATGGAACCTGTGTGGACCTCATCAATGATTACCAATGTGACTGTGTTGCAGGATTTAATGACACAAACTGTACAAACAGTAAGTATTTCCTGAGAACAAGATACATATTGGCATTCATTACAGTAATAAATATAATAGAATTCTAATATCTTTAGATATTGACGAATGTGCCAATGAACCGTGTCAGAACAATGGTACATGTGAGGACCTCATCAATGATTACAACTGTAGCTGTGTTCCTGGATTTAATGGAACTAACTGTGAGGAGAGTGAGTAATTGAAATAAATTATGAGAAATGAAACCATTCATTACATTTTGAACTGTGAAAGACTGGGATTTTTCCCATTAAATAAGTGATATTTTTAAAAGTGATTTTTTTTTACTGTTAAAAAATATCATTGAATAATAACTGTATTTCAAAGTAAGGTATGTCTTTCATGAACATTTGTTACAGATATTGACGAATGTGCTGAAAGCCCTTGTCAGAACAATGGAACATGTGTAGACCTCATCTACGATTATCAATGTGACTGTATTCCAGGATTTAATGGAACTGACTGTGAGGAGAGTAAGTAAATGTAGTAATAACATCGAATAAAACTTTTTCAAACTCAAGTATGTCTAACATAATATATTTGTTACAGATATTGATGAATGTGCTGAAAATCCATGTCAGAACAATGGAACATGTGTGGACCTCATCAATGATTACCAATGTGACTGTGTTGCAGGATTTAATGACACAAACTGTACAAACAGTAAGTGTATCAAACAGAGGAAAATAAATTATGATTTCCTTTCAAGGAAAGATATAATGCTTATAATATTTTTTGCTAGATATTGACGAATGTTCTGATGAACCTTGCCAGAATTATGGAACTTGTGTGGACCTCATCAATGATTACGAATGTCTTTGTATTCCTGGATTCAATGGAACAAACTGCACAAATGGTGATTGTATATCAGTGCTAGATGAAGTCATTTTTAAAAAAGTCTTATAGATGTAGTTTATTTCCACATGGTACATATTAACGAGAAATCAACGGCTAAAAAGTCGCGGATTTTTTTAGAGGTGTACTAAAAGTCATTTCTTTCAAATGTTAATATGGTTTATAGTTTATTAGCGTTTTGACAAAATGTATTCTAATGTTAATAAAAGTGATGGAGAGTCAGAGATGAGTAACCTATCAATCGATAAATTCTGATACATTTATGTTCATATGTGTTATTTCACTTAAAATTGATATCATTAAAATCAAAAGAATATGCATATATTTTACCATTACTAGTCATTTGGATGTATATTCTTTGTACGGATGTACTCGTGGTCATTTACCACCTGTCAAATAGAACCCAAACATTTCAGACACGTGCACTGGTTTAGTGCATCAGAAGTTTTGTCATCTTGATGTAATAAAACAAAACAAAAATATTTTCAGTATCAATTATTTTTGTATTCTTAATTGAAAACAAAATGAAAAAAAAAATCTATGTAAGTAAACGCATAATATGCAATTAGCTAGAATTAAAAATGAAAAAAAATCTATGTAATAAACACACAATGTGCATTTAGCTAAAATTAAAACAAAAGTGTGATCAACGAACTGCTTTTTAAATAGCAAGTTTGATTTGAAGTAAAAGTTCACAATATCAAAATGTACCCAGAATTACGCTGAAAGCATTGAGTATCTAATTCAATATAATTCAAGTGAAACAACTGTGAAAGATTTTCCAGATGAATTGATTTGAAAATTACTTCAGGTGTAAATGAGTTATATGATTGGCTGCTGATTTAAGAACGTAATATTTTCTTATCAAACAAATCTCTATCAAATTTATGTTTTTTAAGGATTATTGTCGCCATGAGTTGCGACTCAGCTAGAACTTGTGAGCCCGTGTTAGTCGAGCGTATTGCTTAGCACATAATTGTAATGAAATCAATACAAAGAGGTCTGTAAGACTTTTTTATCCATTGTCGCATGAAATTTTAGACTCGTTTCTGAAAGTGGAAACCTTATTGTTATGACTTTCGACCCAGAAGAACCACATCTACAGTATATTTATATTGATCAAATGATTATCTATTGATAATTATTAATCTATTGATTAGCAGACCTATTTTTTGTATTCATATGATGCAGAATTTATTCAAAACCTTATTCATTAGAAAAAGAAATCTCTTGCTGTGGCCTTCAACTCGACATTTAGATACATCGACAACGTATTATCAATTAACAATAATTATTTCCATTCATATGTCGACACGATATATCCCAGTGAGCTTGAAATAAGAGATACCACAGAGTCTGACACATCTGTTTCACATCTAAATATTTTACTTGAAAAAGACGTTAATGGTAATCTTACAACAAAGTTTTATGATAAACGTGATGACTTTAACTTTTCAATCGTCAACTTCCCTTACTTATGCAGCAATGTACCCTTATTAGCTGCATGTGGGGTGTATTTCTCTCAGTTAATTCGATACGCAAGAGCATGCTCTACGTATGAACAATTTCTAAAAAGAAGTAAGTTACTGACAAACAAGTTGATGAAACAAGAATAAATTCTCGTTTAAAGTCATCATTTCGTAAGATCTATGGTCGATACAATGCCCTTGTCAGCAAATACAATCTATCATTAAGTCATATGCTGATTGACGTTTTTTCATACAAATTGTTAGGCCATTATTTACACACTGAATTGTCGGTGGATTTTTCCGTTATTTCCCGATCACGACAAGGAGCACACGGCGGGTTTGACTGGTCGGCAGGGGATGCTCACTCCTCCATGGCACCTGATCCCACCTCTGATGTTTTTGGATGCACAAGTTTGCTCTGCTCCCGATTTGTATTGTTTTAATGGACCTTGAGCTTGAATAATGTTCGTTATCTTCATATTTCATCAAAATGCCATAAATGATACGATATATACATGATGGCTATTTGTGCATGTACCACGTAAATTTTTAGAAAACACATTTTACTTCAAATCTGGTAATAAGTAACTTGATTCGTTTGAATAGATATCAACGAATGTGTAGATGAACCTTGTCAAAATAATGGAACATGCGTAGACCTCATTAACAACTACGAATGTCAATGTGTTACCAACTGCGAGGAAAGTAAAAAAAGAATAACGACAAATAAAACCATTTCAAAATTATTTGTTACAGATATTAATGAATGTGCTGAAAATCCTTGTCAGAACAATGGAACATGTGAGAACCTCATCAATGATTTCAACTGTAGCTGTGTTCCTGGATTTAATGGAACTCACTGCCAGGAGAGTAAGTAAATGAAATAAGTTATGACAAATAAACTTTTTATTACATTTCCAAAAGTGTAATGCTGTAATTTATCCATTTGTATCAGAACAGTATTACATAAAGATGATTTTAGGCTATGCTGTTGTTTATTGTTTATTACTTGAAGATAGAACTGGAAGTTGACGAGAGATTCTGAAAAACAATATAAAGCACATCATATAAATTGAATATCACATTTAACAGCAGAATCAAGTTTCATCATAAAAACATATGCTTTCTACATAATATTAGGTAAAAAATAAATACTGACACATGTCAAATTGTTATTTCTCTTGACTTTAAATACAAAATGGTAATAATAAATATTTACCTTTATATACATGTACATGTAGCTACATTTATTATATACCCAACTGTTTGTCACTCAGTTTTACTGTTGAATTCACACAATCACGTGACGCTGTGATCCGACGTTCCGGATCACCACACTGTGGTTTTCTGAATCCATATCACCCCTCTCTGAAACTGATGACGTAGTACACAGATAAATGACGTTTTTATTCTCGCGCATCAAAAAGTTCCTTGACAAAATGGTTTGTTTAATGGATGAAAGTTATGTAATTGATCCAAAAAGTTTCTTTTTATTTTACTTTGCTAGTTGTAAAGGGGTATATAATAGATTTATCATTATAACAGTAACTTGATCCGAAGAGCCGTATCACGTCGAGTTGACAGGCGCGGATCATCAGATCAAACGAGACGCGAAGCGTCGAGTTTGATCTGATGATCCGCGCCTGTCAACTCGAGGTGATACGGCTCTTCCGATCAAGTTACTGTTATAATAATATATATTTATTACATTTTCAACAGTGAAATACTGGGATTTATTTATTGAATTTTAGTGGTATTCTCTCACAGTATGAAAGGATACCAAAGTGATATTCTCTCACTGTGAAAGGATATCAAAGTAAGTAAGAAATAATGTCTGGTCTATCATAAGATAGAGATAGTAACTAAACCGTCTTCATAGAGACTAAAACTGCCAATTGCTAAATCCATGTAACAATGTTTTTAGTCTTACAATTGCTAAGTTATGACGTCTCAACTGCTCAATTATGACGTCAAAGCCTATGACGCTGTGTTAATAAAAACAGAGGCAAAAGGAAAATCAAAGAAAATGTAATAAACAGAAAATTCAATGTTTTGTAGTTGGATATGGAATTTATTTTACTTGTGAGACAGGATTTTTTAAAATATATTTTCACTCGTGCTTCGCACTCGTGAAATGTCAAAATATCTTGTCCCACTCGTGGAATAAATTCCATCTCCAACTACAACACATTGAATATCTTCTATATATACCAAACTATAGGTTTGAATCCTAATTGATTATACGTACAGTAGTCTATGTTTTGTAATGGATTATCTACAATTCATAACATTTATACACTAAATATCCCTTGTGTCATAAAAACATTTCGTTTATTGCAAGGTTCAAATAGTCCATCAGCTTTGACAAACGTAAATATAAATGATTAAATAAATTTCCTCATATGCCTCATTCATTCAAACAATTATTAATGTGAATTAATAAATAATTAATAGTAAACAAGTGTCATAAAGTCAACTTACTGTTAGTGGACTCCCGGACTACTATTAAGCTGGACACTCTGGACAAAGGAGTTGAAGGTTTTGGAGAGAAAATATCAACCAATGATTATTTTTATTTATTTATTCAAGGTTAAAAGTTCAGATGTAATCTAAGAACTCTGGCGATTTCTAGGCTATAAGTACAGAGAGTGATTATGAATTATTTAAATATTTAATATTAAAATTAAGCATATTTATTTTAAATCTTGAATTGAAAGTTATTTTTAACTTTCAAAGGCATTTGAAAATAAAAATACTATTTATTAAAATCAATATAAAATCATGCCTATCACACATATAATAAAACTGACATTTTTACTGTGAAAAAATCAAATGTGCTTCAATACTCCCGAGTTTCTTTCCCTTCATGAAATTGTTATAAAGAAAAAAGCACACTCGTCATAAGATAGCTAAAGTATATGAACCATCTTGAAACGGAGTAAAACAATCAACATTTTTGGAAGTTATTGTTTATTCCGTGTTTTGAACCTCAATCTCACAATTGCATAGCTACAACCGCTTAACTATGGGCTCACAGCCTACGAAACTACGTCACGAAAAAACAGAAGCAGAAAAAAATATCAGAAGTAGAAACTGTAATACACAGGAAATTCAATGTTCTGTAGTTGGATACGGAAATTATTTACTTTTGAGACAAGATTTTTTAAACTTTTCACTTGCGCTTTCTACTCGAGAAAATATTTGAAAAAAATATTGTCCCATTTATCAAATAAATGACATGTCCAACTGCAAAATATTGAATATCTTCTACTCTAAAGACAGATACGTCTTACAATATATATTTTACAGATATTGATGAGTGTGCTGACAATCCATGTCAGAACAATGGTACATGTGAGGACCTCATCAATGATTACAACTGTAGCTGTGTTCCTGGATTTAATGGAACTAACTGTGAGGAGAGTAAGTAAATGAAATAAATGACGACAAATAAAACACTTCATTACATTTGAACTGTGAAAGACTGTTTTTTAAATGAATTAGTGATATTTCTAAAAGTGATATTTTTCACTGTTCAAAAATGTCAAATGTGGCCAAACATTTAATAACTGTATTTCAAAGTAAGGTATGTCTTTCATGAACATTTGTTACAGATATTGATGAATGTGCTGAAAGCCCTTGTCAAAACAATGGAACATGTGTAGACCTCATCAACGATTACCAATGTGACTGTATTCCAGGATTTAATGGAGCTGACTGTGAGGAGAGTAAGTAAATGTAATAATAACATCGAATAAAACTTTTTCAAACTCAAGTATGTCTAACATAATATATTTGTTACAGATATTGATGAATGTGCTGAAAATCCATGTCAGAACAATGGGACATGTGTGGATCTCATCAATGATTACCAATGTGACTGTGTTGCAGGATTTAATGACACAAACTGTACAAACAGTAAGTGTATCAAACAGAGGAAAATAAATTATGATTTCCTTTCAAGGAAAGATATAATGCTTATAATATTTTTTGCTAGATATTGACGAATGTTCTGACGAACCTTGCCAGAATTATGGAACTTGTGTGGACCTCATCAATGATTACGAATGTCTTTGTATTCCTGGATTCAATGGAACAAACTGCACAAATGGTGATTGTATATCAGTGCTAGATGAAGTCATTCAAAAAAAGTCTTATAGATATAGTTTATTTCCACATGGTACATATTAACGAGAAATCAACGGTTAAAAAAGTCGCGGATTTTTTTACAGGTGTACTAAAAGTCATTTCTTTTAAATGTTCATACGGTTTATAGTTTATTAGCGTTTTGACAAATTGTATTCTAATGTTAATAAAAGTGATGGAGAGTCAGAATACTGAGTAACCAAGCAGTCGACAAATTCTGATACATTTATGTTTATTTTTGTTATTTCTCTTAAAATTGATATCATTAAAATCAAAAGAATGTGCATATATTTTACAATTACTAGTCCTTTGCATGTATATTCCTTGTACGGATGTACTCGTGGTCATTTACGTCCTGTCAAATAGAACCCAAACATTTTAGAAACGTGCACTGTTTTAGTGCATCAGAAGTGACTTTTTTCATCTTGATGTAATAAAACAAAACAAAAATATTTTCAGTATCAATTGTTTTTGTATTTTCAATTGAAAAAAAATGAAAAAAGATCTATATTAGTAAACTCAATGTTCATTTAGCTAGAATTAAAACAAAGGTGTGGTCAACGAACTGCTTTTAAATAGCAAGTCTGATTTGAAGTAAAAGTTCACAATATCAAAATGTACCCAGTATTCAACTGAAAGCTGTGAGTATATAATTCAATATTATTCAAGTGAAACAACTGTGAAAGATTTTTCGAGAGGAATTGATTTGAATATTACTTCAGTTATAAATGAGTGATATGATTGGCTGCCGATTTAAAAACGGAATATTTTCTTATCAAACAAATCTCTATCAAGTTGATGCTTTTTAAGGATTATACGTGTATGTCAGCTCATTGTTGTCGCCATGAGTTGTGACTCGGCTAGAACTTGTGAGGTCGTGTTAGTCGAGTGTATCGCTTAGCACATAATTGTAATGAAATCAATACAAAGAGGTCTGAAAGACCTTTTTATCCATTGTCACATGAAATTGTGAACTTGTTTCTGAAAGTGGAAACCTTATTGTTGGGACTTTTGACCCAGAAGAACCACATCTATAGTATATTTATATTGATCAATTGATTATCTATTGATTATTATTAATCTATTGATTAACAGACCTATTTTTGTATTCAAATGAAGCTGAATTTATTCAAAACCTTATTCATTAGAAAAAGAAAACTCTTGCTGTTGCCTATTTTTTTTTTTTAAATTTTCACTTGCGCTTCCTACTCTTGAAAATATTTGAAAAAAAATATTGTCCCATTTATCAAATAAATTACATATCCAACTGCAAAATATTGAATATCTTTTACTTTTAAAACAGATACGTCTTACAATGTATATGTTACAGATATTGATGAGTGTGCTGAAAATCCTTGTCAACACAATGGAACATGTGTTGACCTCATTAATGATTACAACTGTAGCTGTGTTCCTGGATTTAATGGAACTAACTGTGAGGAGAGTAAGTAAATGAAATAAATGACGACAAATAAAACACTTCATTACATTTGAAACTGTGAAAGACTGTTTTTTCATTTCATTTTCATTTCATTTCAGTGATATTTTTAAAAGTGATATTTTTCACTGTTCAAAAATATTAAATGCAGTTAAACATTTAATAACTGGATTTCAAAGTAAGGTATGTCTTTCATGAACATTTTGTTACAGATATTGATGAATGTGCTGAAAGCCCTTGTCAAAACAATGGAACATGTGTAGACCTCATCAACGATTACCAATGTGACTGTATTCCAGGATTTAATGGAACTGACTGTGAGGAGAGTAAGTAAATGTAATAATAACATCGAATAAAACTTTTTCAAACTCAAGTATGTCTAACATAATATATTTGTTACAGATATTGATGAATGTGCTGAAAATCCATGTCAGAACAATGGAACATGTGTGGATCTCATCAATGATTACCAATGTGACTGTGTTGCAGGATTTAATGACACAAACTGTACAAACAGTAAGTATTTCCTGAGAACAAGATACATATTGGCATTCATTACAGTAATAAATGAAATATATGGAGATAATGTACAGTATTCAAGCTCAAAAGTCAATTAAAAAATACAAAATAGGAGCAGAGCAAACACGGACCTCTAAACATCAGAGGTGGGATCAGGTGCCATGGAGGAGTGAGCATCCCCTGCCGACCGGTCACACCAGCCGTGTGCTCATTGTCATGATCGGGAAATAACGGAAAAATCCGTCGACAATTCAATGTGTAAATAATGGCCTAACAATTAGTATGAAAAAACGTCAGTCAGCATTTTACTCAATGATAAATTGTATTTGCTGACAAGGTCATTGTATCGACCATAGAACTTACGAAATGATGACTTTAAACGAGACAGCTGATATTCTTGTTTCATCAACTTGTTTGTCAATAATTTACCTCGTTTTAGAAATTGTACATACGTAGAGCATGCTCTTGCGTATCGAAGCAACTGAGAGATATATACCCCGTATGCAGGTGATGAAGGTATATTGCTACATAAGTAAGGGAAGTTGACGATTGAAAAGTTAAAGTCATCACGTTTATCATAAAGCTTGGTTGTTAGATTACCATTAACGTCTTTTTCAAGTAAAATATCCAAATATGAAACAGATGTGTCAGACTCTGTGGTATCTTTTATCTCAAGCTCACCAGGATATATCGTATCGACATAAGAATGAAAATAGCCATTGTTAATTGACAATACATCGTCGATATATCTAAATGTCGAGTTGAAGGCCACAGGAAGTGTTTTCTTCTTTTCACGTACAAGATTATGGACAAATTCTGCTTCATATGAATACAAAAAAAAGGTCTGCTAATAACGGGGCGCAATTGGTACCAATGGGAATTCCAATAGATTGTTGGAAGACCTGGTCTGCAAAATCCACATAGATATTGTCAATCAGAAACTCAAGCATCTTTTTAATGTCAACTTCAGAGTACTTGTGTGTACAATCAGAATGTTTTTTAACAAAATAATTTTGCAAATGACCAATGACAAGATAAGTATATTAACGAGTTCCATTTTTATTGAAAAAGCGGCTGTCAATTATATCAAAAAGCCTGGACTTTAATTTATCGTGGGGAATGGTTGTGTATAAAGTAGAAAAGTCGTAAGTTTTTAAGCTGTTGATTTTGGAAAAATCTTGTGATTTCAAATTTTCCAAAAGTTCCTTGGAATTTTTAAGTATCCACATCTGATTTACACAACTTCTCGAATATATTGTTGCACAGTACTCTTGAAGTTTCTCCTTCACCACTGTTAATATCTTAGTGAGGAGTAAGAAAGAGGCTTGGTTGAACATTTACTGGAACCTGCTATGTATCTTTGTTTGTAAGGATTTTTATGAAGTTTCAGAATCCAATATAAATATGGTAATTCAAATCCATTTTGGTTGTTTGGAATATTAAAAATATTCAAAACTGACATATGATTTTGAAGAATTTCTTCCTTAGAAAGGGAACTACGAGTATAAGTTGGACTACCACTTGTAGAATTAAATCCAAGTTCCTCTTGATAACATTTAATATATTGAGCCTTACAAACAAAGACAATGTTGTTACCTGCTTTGTCAGCAGAGACCAGTACGTACTGTTCATGTAATCTATCTAATTCTTTTTTCACTTCTGGATTATTGAATACAGAAGGATAGATGGTTCTCATATTGCCCCTCAATCTTTTAATGCGTGATTTTAAAGGCGCTTGGACACAGATTTGAAGTTAATATTTTCTCAGATTTTCTGTATAATTTCATGACTTATATGTTGCTATAGCATTTCATACTAAAATATAATAAAAATCTTATTTCATATCGAAGTTATTAAAACTTCGAATTTCTGGACGCGTTTGATTGACACATCCTTGCACTTTCACAATTCCTAATTTTATTCTTAATACTAAAGAAAAGTGGCAGTTTTGTTGTGTATAAATGAAAAGTATTAAAACTATAATCCAGAAAATTTAGAGTAGAAATGTTCGAAAGCAAAACCCACTCACAGTATTGTCAGTCCGAGCTCAGTGGTGTGTGCAGACTTTAACAATTGAACACACCCAGTGAATCGTAAACATTAACAATAACAGAGCTCTCGTGCCCTGTTTACAAAAACAGTTTACGTTTCACGGGTGTATTCAATTTGTTAAACTCTGTACACAACACTGAGCACGGGCTGACGATATTAGTGAGGGGGTTTGCTTTTGCACATTTCTACTCTGAATTTTCTGGATTATAGATGTAATGTTTTTCATTAATACAAAACAAAATCGCTTCTTTTCTTAAATATTAAGGATAAAGATAAAATTTGTGAAAGTGCAAGGATGTGTTAATCAGACGCGTCCAGGAATTCGTAGTACCAATAATTTCCAGATAAAATAAGTTTTTAATTATATTTCCGTGTGAAATGCTATTGCAATATATAAGTCGTGATATTATACAGAAATTTTGAGAAAATATTAACTTCAAATCTGTGTCTAAGCACCTTTAACATACATCTGATACATTTAATCCATTCTGACAAAGTGTCAAGGTCTCCTTTTTCATGTCTGGCCCATCGCCTGGCGTAGTCTTCTACTGAATCCATAATATTTATGAAATTCCGACGCCAGTTGAAGGATCGGGGTTCCCTAAATTTAGGACCTTTCAAAATTAGTGATCTAAGGTCCTCATTATTAAATATATATCTATAATAAAATTCTAATATCTTTAAGTAAATGAAATAAATTACGACAAATGAAACACTTCATTACGTTTTCAACTGTGAAATAGTGTTTGTGAAATATATACAGATAATGAACATTCCATTAATTAAGTGATCTTTTTAAAAATGATATTTTTCACTTTATTGTGAAAAATATCAAATGCTACCTAACATTTACTAACTGTATTTCAAAGTAGAGTACGTCTTTCATGAACTATTGTTACAGATATTGATGAATGTGCTGAAAGCCCTTGTCAGAACAATGGAACATGTGTAGACTTCATCAACGATTACCAATGTGACTGTATTCCAGGATTTAATGGAACTGACTGTGAGGAGAGTAAGTAAATGTAATAATAACATCGAATAAAACTTTTTCAAACTCAAGTATGTCTTACATAATATATTTGTTACAGATATTGATGAATGTGCTGAAAATCCATGTCAGAACAATGGAACATGTGTGGATCTCATCAATGATTACCAATGTGACTGTGTTGCAGGATTCAATGACACTAATTGTACAAACAGTATGTGTATGAATCAGTGAATCAGATTAATCACGATTTTCTTCTTCAAGGAAAGGCTAAATATTAAAGAATCTACAATTGTCTTTTTCAGTCATGTATCTCACCTAATTATTGTTACAGATATTGATGAATGTGCAGAAAATCCATGTCAGAACAATGGAACATGTGTGGACCTCGTCAATGATTACCAATGTGACTGTGTTGCAGGATTTAATGACACAAACTGTACAAATAGTAAGTAATTGCTGAGAACAAGATACATATTGGTATTCATTACAATAATAAATAGAATAAAATTCTAATATCTTTAGATATTGACGAATGTGCCAGTGAACCGTGTCAGAACAATGGAACATGTGTGGACCTCATCAATGATTACAACTGTAGCTGTGTTCCTGGATTTAATGGAACTAACTGTGAAGAGAGTAAGTAAATGAAATAAATTACGAGAAATGAAACCATTCATTAAATTTTCAACTGTGAAATAGTGTTTGTGAAATATATACAGATAATGAACAGTCCATTAAATAAGTGATCTTTTTAAAAATGACATTTTTCACTTCACTTTGAAAATATCAAATGTGGCAAAACATTTACTAACTGTATTTCAAAGTAAAGTACGACTTTCATGAACATTTGTTACAGATATTGACGAATGTGCTGAAAGCCCTTGTCTAAACAATGGAACATGTGTAGACCTCATCAACGATTACCAATGTGACTGTATTCCAGGATTTAATGGAACTGACTGTGAGGAGAGTAAGTAAATGTACAGACCCTAAAACGTGCTACTACACCACTTGCACGGTTCGGTTCGTTTCGTTTTGTGTACGGTACGGTTCGCTTCTTGCGCGGAACGGTACGCTTTGTGAATGGTACGGTTCGTTTTGTGCACGGTACAGTACGCTTCTTGCACGGAACGATTCGTTTTGTGAAAGGTACGCTTTGGTGAATGGTATGTAAATGAACTAGGCGGAGCCTGTGCGCTTTAGTTTATGATTGGCTACTTAGTAAAGTCGTTTATTTCTTTATTATAATCTCTTTATTTTATATAAATGGAAGGACGGTGTCGCAAGCATTTTTGATAAGTTGTTTTTAAGTTAAAGCTGTTATAAATATTTCCTTTTTACAGCTATATTTTCGTTATTAAATGTAACTAGTCCTCTTATTAACTGAATCTCTTTTTAATTTACTTTCTGTATGACCTACTTTCAATTTTTAAAATAAAATAATTTTAGTTGTCTATTTATTTATTTTTTTTTGGTACACCATCGCCGTATGGTTGAATAACTTGGAAACATATCAACAAGCAGTGTATAACAAGGATAAAAAAATATTTTGGTTGCGTCGCCGTAAAGGTCTCTCTTTCTGTATATTTTTTTTTTAAAGAATAAGCGTACACATTTTTATTTCTTTTAATTATCCCAATTGAATACACTTATTTTTTTTTAATTATTCACTTATTACACTTTTAAACAAATGAGTTTGATTTTATAAATCCCTCATGCTTTCATTTCGTCTACCATTCTATCTATTCTTGTCGTCCGCGTGGCGCAGTGGTTAGAGCGTCTGCTCTAGAGTCGCGGAGTAAGGGGTTGATCCATACGTCGCGGGTTCGAATCCCACTGTGGGACGTGAAGACCGGTCCTTCGGATGAGACCGTATAAACCGAGGTCCCGTGTCGCGGTAGGTGCTGGCAATAAAAAGATCCCTCACTACCCAATGGCCGAATGCCGAGTATAGGACAAAATTTGCATCGCTCCACCGGCAAGTGGTGGCGTCTCCATATGAGTGAAAAATTCTCGAGAGGGACGTTAAACAACATACAAACAAACAAAAAAAACGTTCTTGTCGCTGTTGCTTCATTAAAAAAAATCTTGACCGAATGATCAAACAAACAGTAAGAAAATAAGTTATTATTTTCATTTTTATTTACGAGGAATTATAATTTTTTTAACATAGATTCCTTAGGTTTTTGGCTCACTAGGAAAAATACATTGAAAAGTAATTGGTAGAAGTGCACACAATTAGTGCAAAATATTTATTTTTTGTGTGTGTAATTCTTTTCCTTTTTACATAAATTTTCCATCAATGTGTAAAAACGCTTTCTGAAAGGAGATTACAATCAAGAATACGGTTAAGACAGCTACAATTCCATCTACAATGTATAAATGTATATAATATATATTGACTGCAAAGACAGATTTCCGAAATAAATAATATCTCGAAATGTTAGAAATAAATAGTCCGTTTTCAGTTAACCTAGAAAAAAAATAATATGCAGCCATGCATGTCCTCAAAGACTGAAAATGAATAATTTGCCCGTGTCGATTGCTACCCTCCCCCCCCCCCCCCTTATCGTTTCCTTGTTAAACTCCAAATTTTTTTTATTGAAGATCTAGAAGAAAAGCTGACTGAACATGAAATTCTGTTTATCTGCTGATTAAAACTGGTTCTTTGTTGTAGACTTACTGTTTAAGACAGCAAACTGTTGATACACGTGTGAATGTAGGCATATCTGGACTAACTGTATTAGATACGGTACAATATACACAGCTTAAGTTTTTACCTGTGTACGTGTGATGACAATACTTGATCGAATTTTCAAATGTTTTAGAGTAAATAACGAAAGTATAAAAGGACGCCAGTCTAGATAACGAGACCATGGCAAGAAATGTACAGTGTTTCTCAAAAAAAAAAAACAAAAACAAAAAAAACTTGGATGAACTTGCATGCACGGACTAAGCATTTTTTTTTTAAATTAAACTGGGCTTTATGCGTAAATTCCAGGTAACATGTTTTACCTGCAGGTTTCAATGAATAAAGCAAATGAAATGGGAAAATGCTTTAAATAAAAATTAATTCTGACATATATCCAGATTTGTTTTTTGATTACGTGTATTAAACTGAAAATTCCATGCGAAAATGTGGCTATCGAACTTTTTGACAGTATGTTATATTGGCAATAACATCTTGGGTTGGTCTGAAGAGTATAAACCAAAACATATTATTTATATATACATCACTTTTATTTATTTTTTTTCTAGTGATTGAGAGGCGTTTACATTTTAACATGTCCCCTTTCAAATGACAATTTAGTTCGTAATTTTTTATTTATTTTTTTTTTTCATTTTGTTGTTGTTGTTGCTAATTCTGTAATCATTTCTCCCTAAAACTATTAATTTTATGAATAAAAATGATTTTAAGGGCTTGATTTCGGAAAATATAGCACAGAATCTTAATACATTTTTCAATGTGTCTTGCTTTCCGATAACGTTTCATAGAGACAAGAATAGGGTAGATAAAAGCTAAAGAAATAAACGATAAAGTATTTAATTCACTTTTATTTATTATAAATTGTACACGGAAATATTACGATGCTGCATTTAATATGAAAATAATGTTAGTCAAGCACAACCCGATCATGCAGAGCGAATAAGGAGTCGCCTCACACTCTGTCGAGTTGTTTTGAAGTCGTAACTTGTTTTGAGTAGTTTCCTTATATTAACAGATGTAAGTCCAGATGCATGGAACTTACATGTAATTATAATATTTTGAATCTCTAGGGTTATTTTCTGTCCTTCTTTAACCGGTGCTGCGTCGAAAGAAATATAAAAAAAATACTTACTGTATTTGGTCACTGCAAGATTCGGAATGCTTTCGGGGCGTGGCTTGCATAATTATTTCAAAAGTTATTCATGAACGGTACGGTTCACTTTGTGCGCGGTACGGTACGCTTCTTGCACGGAACAGTACAGTTCGTTTCTGAGGTGTAGTAGCACGTTTTAGGGTCTGTAATAATAACATCGAATAAAACTGTTTCAAACTTAAGCATGTCTTACCTAACATATGTATTTGTTACAGATATTGATGAATGTGCTGAAAATCCATGTCAGAACAATGGAACATGTTTAGACTTCATCAATGATTACCAATGTGACTGTGTTGCAGGATTCAATGACACTAATTGTACAAACAGTACGTGTATGAATCAGTGAAGATTAAATTACGATTTTCTTTTTCAAGGAAAGGCTAAATATTAAAGAATCTACAATTGTCTTTAAAAGTCATGTACCTAAGCTAATTATTTGTTACAGATATTGATGAATGTAGTGAAAATCCATGTCAGAACAATGGAACATGTGTGGACCTCATCAATGATTACCAATGTGACTGTGTTGCAGGATTTGATGACACAAACTGTACAAACAGTACGTATTTCCCGAGGAAAAGGTGCATATTAGAATTCATTATAGTAAAAATATGCAAACTTTGTAATTTCTTTAGATATTGACGAATGCGCCAGTGAACCGTGTCAGAACAATGGTACATGTGAGGACCTCATCAATGATTACAACTGTAGCTGTGTTCCTGGATTTAATGGAACTAACTGTGAGGAGAGTATGTAAATGAAATAAATGATGGCAAATAAATGGAGGATATTCAATGTTTTGTAGTTGGATATGGAATTTATTTAACGAGTGGGCCAGGATTTTTTTTTCTATTTTCACGAGTGCGAAGCACGAGTGAAAATATAAAAAAAAACATCCTGTCTCACGAATGAAATAAATTCCATATCCAACTACAAAACATTGAATTTTCCGTTTATTACATTTTCTTTGATTTTCCCTTTGCCTCTCTTTCCTTACAGAGTGTCATAGGCTCTGACGTCAAATTTAGCGGCTTAGTAATTGTGATATTGAAAACATTGTAACATGGATTTTAACAACGTATTTGGGAAGAAATTGGCAGTTTTAGTCTCTTTCAAGACGGTTTAGTTTCTATCTCTGTCGTATGACAGGCCAGAAATTATTTTTACTTACTTTGATATCCTTTCAAACTGTGAGAGAATATCACTTTGGTATCCCTTCACACTGTGAGAGAATATCACTTTTATTCAATAAATAAATCACAGTATTTCACTGTTGAAAATGTATAAAACACTTCATTACATTTGGAACTGTGAAAGACTGTTTTTTCATTGAATAAGTGATATTTTTAAAATTGATATTTTTCACAGTTCAATAGTATCATATGCGGCCAAACATTTAAAAACTGTATTTCAAAGAGGTAAGTTTTTCATGAACATTTGTTACAGATATTGATGAATGTGCTGAAAGGCCTTGTCAAAACAATGGAACATGTGTAGACCTCATCAACGATTACCAATGTAACTGTATTCCAGGATTTAATGGAACTGACTGTGAGGAGAGTAAGTAAATGTAGTAATAACATCGAATAAAACTTTTTCAAACTCAAGTATGTCTTACATAATACATTTGTTACAGATATTGATGAATGTGCTGAAAATCCATGTCAGAACAATGGAACCTGTGTGGACCTCATCAATGATTACCAATGTGACTGTGTTGCAGGATTTAATGACACAAACTGTACAAACAGTACGTATTTTCCTAATGAAAAGGTCCATATTTGCATTTATTACAAACGAATATTACCATTAAATTGTACATCCTTTAGATATAGATGAATGTGCCAGTGAACCGTGTCAGAACAATGGTACATGTGTGGACCTCATCAACGATTTTGAGTGTGTTTGTTCTCCTGGATTCAATGGCACGGACTGCACTAACGGTAGTTGTAAATAATATATGAAATCACTAAATATTGTCTAAAATAAAAGATTATTCATCCAAATGTTATTATCAAGTTATGATGGTTAACTTTCTACAGGTCACTATCTTCAAACTAGCTTATTTTACTTCACGTATCACATTCTATATTTTGCCACAGTAAAAGTTCGTCGCATGCAGTTAAATTCTTCATATAATTCCAAATTTATATTGTCTTTATAGATGTCAACGAATGTATGGACGATCCTTGTCAGAATAATGGAACATGTGTAGACCTCATCAACAGCTACGAATGCCTCTGTGTTCCCGGTTTCAATGACACCAACTGCACAAACAGTAAGTAAAAGATAATAGTTCCTATATTGGACTTTGATTGAAGTGAATAAGCTTATTTCGAAAGTTTTTCTTTTACTTTAAAGTTTTGTAAAAGTTTTGATAAATAATCCAATAAATCATGTTTAACATGAAATCATGCATGTATTTCATCCAAATAGACAAACATTGAGGTTATGTATGTACAAGATTTCAGTGGCTCTATTGGAGTATTAATATATCAATAAAATTACGAAAAATAAAAATATTTGAGTCAGGTACTCATTCACATATGTTTGGTAGATATTGATGAATGTAGTGAAAATCCATGTCAGAACAATGGAACATGTGCGGACCTCATCAATGATTACCAATGTGACTGTGTTGCAGGATTTAATGACACAAACTGTACAAACAGTAAGTATTTCCTGAGAAGAAGATACATATTAGCATTCATTACAGTAAAAATATATAAACGTTGTAATTTCTTTAGATATTGATGAATGCGCCAGTAAACCGTGTCAGAACAATGGTACATGTGAGGACCTCATCAATGATTACAACTGTAGCTGTGTTCCTGGATTTAATGGAACTAACTGCGAGGAGAGTAAGTAATTGAAATAAATGACGACAAATAAAACACTTCATTAAATTTGAACTGCGAAAGACTTTTTTTCATTACATTAGTGATATTTTTTAAAATGATATTTTTCTCTGCTGAAAAATATCAAATGCGGCAAAACATTTAATAACTGTTTTTCAAAGTAAGGTACGTCTTTCATGAACATTTGTTACAGATATTGATGAATGTGCTGAAAGCCCTTGTCAAAACAATGGAACATGTGTAGACCTCATCAACGATTACCAATGTGACTGTATTCCAGGATTAAATGGAACTGACTGTGAGGAGAGTAAGTAAATGTAGTAATAACATCGAATAAAACTTTTTCAAACTCAAGTATGTCTTACATAATACATTTGTTACAGATATTGATGAATGTGCTGAAAATCCATGTCAGAACAATGGAACATGTTTAGACTTCATCAATGATTACCAATGTGACTGTGTTGCAGGATTCAATGACACTAATTGTACAAACAGTACGTGTATGAATCAGTGAAGATTAAATTACGATTTTCTTTTTCAAGGAAAGGCTTAATATTAAAGAATCTACAATTGTCTTTAAAAGTCATGTACCTAAGCTAATTATTTGTTACAGATATTGATGAATGTGCTGAAAATCCATGTCAGAACAATGGAACATGTGTGGACCTCATCAATGATTACCAATGTGACTGTGTTGCAGGATTTGATGACACAAACTGTACAAACAGTAAGTATTCCTGAGGAAAAGGTGCATATTAGAATTCATTATAGTGAAAATATGCAAACTTTGTAATTTCTTTAGATATTGACGAATGTGCCAGTGAACCGTGTCAGAACAATGGTACATGTGAGGACCTCATCAATGATTACAACTGTAGCTGTGTTCCTGGATTTAATGGAACTAACTGTGAGGAGAGTAAGTAAATGAAATAAATGACGAAATGAAACACTTCATTACATTTGGAACTGTGAAAGACTTTTTTTCATTGAATAAGTGATATTTTTCACTGTTCAATAATATCATATGCGGCCAAACATTTAAAAACTGTATTTCAAAGTAGGGTACGTCTTTCATGAACTATTGTTACAGATATTGATGAATGTGCTGAAAGCCCTTGTCAAAACAATGGAACATGTATAGACCTCATCAACGATTACCAATGTGGCTGTATTCCAGGATTTAATGGAACTGACTGTGAGGAGAGTAAGTAAATGTAATAATAACATTGAATAAAACTTTTTCAAACTCAAGTATGTCTTACATGATACATTTGTTACAGATATTGATGAATGTGCTGAAAATCCATGTCAGAACAATGGAACCTGTGTGGACCTCATCAATGATTACCAATGTGACTGTGTTGCAGGATTCAATGACACTAATTGTACAAACAGTACGTGAATGAGTCAGTGAAGAATTAATCACGATTTTCTTTTTCAAGGAAAGGCTTAATATTAAAGAATCTACAATTGTCTTTTAAAGTCATGTACCTAAGCTAATTATTTGTTACAGATATTGATGAATGTGCTGAAAATCCATGTCAGAACAATGGAACATGTGTGGACCTCATCAATGATTACCAATGTGACTGTGTTGCAGGATTTAATGACACAAACTGTACAAACAGTAAGTATTCCTGAGGAAAAGGTGCATATTAGAATTCATTATAGTGAAAATATGCAAACTTTGTAATTTCTTTAGATATTGACGAATGTGCCAGTGAACCGTGTCAGAACAATGGTACATGTGAGGACCTCATCAATGATTACAACTGTAGCTGTGTTCCTGGATTTAATGGAACTAACTGTGAGGAGAGTAAGTAAATGAAATAAATGACGAAATGAAACACTTCATTACATTTGGAACTGTGAAAGACTTTTTTTCATTGAATAAGTGATATTTTTCACTGTTCAATAATATCATATGCGGCCAAACATTTAAAAACTGTATTTCAAAGTAGGGTACGTCTTTCATGAACTATTGTTACAGATATTGATGAATGTGCTGAAAGCCCTTGTCAAAACAATGGAACATGTATAGACCTCATCAACGATTACCAATGTGACTGTATTCCAGGATTTAATGGAACTGACTGTGAGGAGAGTAAGTAAATGTAGTAATAACATCGAATAATACTTTTTCAAACTCAAGTATGTCTTACATGATACATTTGTTACAGATATTGATGAATGTGCTGAAAATCCATGTCAGAACAATGGAACCTGTGTGGACCTCATCAATGATTACCAATGTGACTGTGTTGCAGGATTCAATGACACTAATTGTACAAACAGTACGTGAATGAGTCAGTGAAGAATTAATCACGATTTTCTTTTTCAAGGAAAGGCTTAATATTAAAGAATCTACAATTGTCTTTTAAAGTCATGTACCTAAGCTAATTATTTGTTACAGATATTGATGAATGTGCTGAAAATCCATGTCAGAACAATGGAACATGTGTGGACCTCATCAATGATTACCAATGTGACTGTGTTGCAGGATTTAATGACACAAACTGTACAAACAGTAAGTATTCCTGAGGAAAAGGTGCATATTAGAATTCATTATAGTGAAAATATGCAAACTTTGTAATTTCTTTAGATATTGACGAATGTGCCAGTGAACCGTGTCAGAACAATGGTACATGTGAGGACCTCATCAATGATTACAACTGTAGCTGTGTTCCTGGATTTAATGGAACTAACTGTGAGGAGAGTAAGTAAATGAAATAAATGACGAAATGAAACACTTCATTACATTTGGAACTGTGAAAGACTTTTTTTCATTGAATAAGTGATATTTTTCACTGTTCAATAATATCATATGCGGCCAAACATTTAAAAACTGTATTTCAAAGTAGGGTACGTCTTTCATGAACTATTGTTACAGATATTGATGAATGTGCTGAAAGCCCTTGTCAAAACAATGGAACATGTATAGACCTCATCAACGATTACCAATGTGACTGTATTCCAGGATTTAATGGAACTGACTGTGAGGAGAGTAAGTAAATGTAGTAATAACATCGAATAATACTTTTTCAAACTCAAGTATGTCTTACATGATACATTTGTTACAGATATTGATGAATGTGCTGAAAATCCATGTCAGAACAATGGAACCTGTGTGGACCTCATCAATGATTACCAATGTGACTGTGTTGCAGGATTTAATGACACAAACTGTACAAACAGTACGTATTTTCCTAATGAAAAAGTCCATATTGGCATTTATTACAGACAAATATTACCATAACGTTGTACATCCTTTAGATATAGATGAATGTGCCAGTGAACCGTGTCAGAACAATGGTACATGTGTGGACCTCATCAACGATTTTGAGTGTGTTTGTTCTCCTGGATTCAATGGCACGGACTGCACTAATGGTAGTTGTAAATAATATATGAAATCACTAAATGTTGTCTAAAATAAAAGATTATTCATCCAAATGTTATTATCAAGTTATGATGGTTAACTTTCTACAGGTCACTATCTTCGAACAGCTAATTTTACTTCACGTATCACATTCTATATTTTGCCACAGTAAAAATTCATTGCATGCAGTTAAATTCTTCATATAATTCCAAATTTATATTGTCTTTATAGATGTCAACGAATGTATGAACGATCCTTGTCAGAATAATGGAACATGTGTAGACCTCATCAACAGCTACGAATGCCTCTGTGTTCCCGGTTTCAATGACACCAACTGCACAAACAGTAAGTAAAAGATAATAGTTTCTATATTGGACTTTGATTGAAGTGAATAAGCTTATTTCGAAAGTTTTTCTTTTACTTAAAAGTTTTGATAAATAATCCAATAAATCATGTTTAACATGAAATCATGCATGTATTTCATCCAAATAGACAAACATTGAGGTTATGTATGTACGAGATTTCAGTGGCTCTATTGGAGTATTAATATATCAATAAAATTACGAAAAATAAAAATATTTGAGTCAGGTACTCATTCACATATGTTTGGTAGATATTGATGAATGTGCTGAAAATCCATGTCAGAACAATGGAACATGTGTGGACCTCATCAATGATTTCCAATGTGACTGTGTTGCAGGATTTAATGACACAAACTGTACAAACAGTAAGTATTTCCTGAGGAAAATGTGCAAATTAGCATTCATTACAGTAAAAATATATTAACGTTATAATTTCTTTAGATATTGACGAATGTGCCAGTGAACCGTGTCGGAACAATGGAACATGTATAGACCTCATCAATGATTACAACTGTAGCTGTGTTCCTGGATTCAATGGAACCAACTGTACAAATAGTAAGTTAATGAAATTCAAAACTGAAATATTCTTCACATTATTATTTCTTATTACTAATTATTTTATTTTAGCAAAATGAAGAACATCAAGGATGCTTAGATTTAGAGCTAGACTAATTTGTGCGAGGATTTTATTTAAAGAATGTACAAACAGAATAGAGAAATGTACAAACGTTTTGGTGTTTCATGCATCCTCTCTGTATACCGATGCAGCAGTTTTGTGCAAATCCGGTAACATATGACTGAATGATAGCTTATTTAGGTTGTGTAAGTAATTTATTGGATTTTTTTTTTAGATATCAACGAATGTGTGGAGGAACCGTGTCAGAACAATGGTACATGTGTGGACCTCATCAATGATTTTGAGTGTGTTTGTGTTTCTGGATTCAATGGCACGAACTGCACAAATGGTAATAGTAAATAATTGATCGAATCACCATAAAGAATCTTAATAAAAATATAATTCATCAAAATGCAATTATGAAGGATGGATAGTAATCAGTTGATACATATGCATGCCATTATTTCCAAGCAGACTAATTTTACTTCACTTATTACACTTTACATTTTGCCACAGATAAAATTATTTAAATCCAGTTAAATTCTTGATATAATATGATTTTTGATATTATATGATTCTTGATTTAATTCCATATCTTAAAAAGTTAAAGATTTTGAAATTTTTCTTTTTCAGAAGGTAGAAAAGTTTATAAAATGGCCACGGGCATTTAGCCTAATGCCAAAAATATTGTACAAAAGTATAATATACTACTAAGTAATTAGCAAACACTCTTGCTGTGAATGACATCAATACTTAATTGATTTATACTTGTAGATATCAATGAATGTGCGGATGAACCTTGTCAGAATAATGGAACATGTGTAGACCTCATAAACAACTACGAATGTCTCTGTGTTCCCGGTTTCAATAACACCAACTGCACAAACAGTAAGTAAAAATAAAAGATTCCATGTTGAATTTTGATTGTATTGAGTACTCTGTAATGAAATGCATATTTAACTTACAGATATTAACATATAATCCAATATATCATGTTTGATATAAACATATACCTGTACTTCATCCGTGTCTAAAAGTAAGGTTATGTACAACAGATCTCAGTATACATCAAATAATCATACATAGGGCGTACAGCGAATGTGATGGGTCGACGGTGGGCGTTTACTCCTCCTAGGCATCTGATCACATCTATTGTGTTTCCAGGAGTCCGTGTTTTGCACTGTTCACGATACGTTTTGTTAACTGTATTTTATTGAGTTAGATTACTTTTAGTTATCTTCACCTTTTACATTGCAAAAATTTAATATTAATACATCAAAAGAATTACAAAAAATTTAACGTAGGTTGCGGCGTTGGTGACCTTTTAAAATTGCTCGAAAACATATTGTGAAAATTAGTTATTTGAATCTCTACTTTTGTTGTACATTCTGTGAAAATGTTATAAAATTCGTCTGCATTGTTTTTGCGTTATTAAATCCCAAACATACCATCGTTGTCATAACATTTTCGACGCTATTCTTTTGAATTCTATAGGGAAAACGTCATTTTTGACTCGTTTTCAGGCAAAATTTCGTCTAAAAAAAATCTCAGTATTTTTTAAATGGTGCAGACGAAATTGTTCCCCTTTTGGTCATTTCACTCAGAGATGATTTCCGATAAATCTATGTAAAAAAATCAATATGTCTTCGAGTTAGTTTTCTCGTAATTTAAATGCGAATAGTTGCTTTTACTTCGCAAAATGTAATATTTCTAAGAATGACGCTATAAACTATCGCGACGTCACGCTTGACGTCGTGAATACGGTCCGGTATAAAATGCAGAAAAACAAAATAATATAATAAAAAATAAGAAAGAAATTCATTTATATATATATATATAATTAAAAATAAGCACAGATGTATGAGTTAGGTAACAATGTATCTTCTCTGAAACACTTTACGGGTTTCAATTGTTTATAAGCTGTAACTAAGAGAGAGAGAGAGAGAGAGAGGAGGCTTGGGTAGGGCTTGCAGGAGCAGTACTCCTACATGTAGCGTAATTCAGAGACTTTTTTCTTACAAGAATGGGGAGGGAATATTAATTAGAGACTTTAATTAGAAAAAAAGGTTTATTTTTTTTTACACATCCGGAGCTAGTTCCTATATGGATGGATTTTTTTGTATTTAATATGGATGGATTATATTTCTTATTCTTTAAAAAAGCTATACAAAACCTTCTTTGTATACGGAATTTTCACATTGGTAATGCCTTTATAAGTACACATGCAGCATACGACTACTCCTTACGCATGTATCGCTGTCGTATCACCACAAGTCGTCATCGTTTTTTTTCCCAAATTAACCCCATTCTGTTGGTAAATAAACAAAGATACCAAGAACTACTCGTGTTTTGTCTGAAAAAGATCACAATTTTCACCAAACTTTGTACATTTTTGAAGGTCCGATTTTTTCATTATCGACGCCGTTCGATGTTGTCAAAGTATTTGCAAACATGGTGTTATGACATTCAAAAGAATTTAGCCTTTGCTGAGCGTTTTTTTTAAAGATATTAAGATACACAGGAAAAAATGATGCATTTTTCTGTTGGGGGGGAGGGGGGGGGGGGGGGGGCAACGCAACAGATACAAACAATATCAGGCCCGTAGCAACGATTTCATTTTTTTTTTTCTTTAGGGGTGGGGGGGGGTCAACCTAGCTCAAAAAACCCCCCAAACAAATCTAATTATCTGTCCAAATCCTGGATGTGCCAGTGCTCAACCTTACAAGAACTAAAAGTGGTAGCCCTGCCCCCTCCTGCCCCCCTCCACGCGTTTTACGGGCCTGAAGCAGACATTCTTGGGGGAGCACAACCGCAAATTAGTTTTGTTTTCTAATTTGTATTTTCATGCACTGGCAAAATTACTGAGGGGGACAACAACTGTAAATTAGCATGATTTTCTAAAGTAATTTATATACATTAACAAAAATATGGGGACACGCCCATCTTCCGATTCCTACCGAATTAATATCCCTTTTGTCTTTACCACGAATTCCTCATAAGACTGCCAGCAATCTTTTTTAATTACACAAGTGCTGCTAGCTCCGAGACGTTGTAATTTTTGACCTTTCATTTCTTCGACGCAATACTTTTACTTTGTTCAATTCCATCAGTGATAATCGATGTATCTAAATCTAGTTAAACATCACTGCCTTAATTTTCTATACGTATATTTTCTGTATTTATACGGTGCATTTTACACTGCGTTCTTCGCCGATTTATTTTTTAATTCTTTACTCTGTTTTTCATACAGATGAGAGATACCTCCCAAACTTTTGCCTTAATTTTATGAAGTATATGATTAAATACCCTTGAAAAGAATTTTTAAAAAACCATAAAAACAATCGGACGAAACACGTTGAGAGGTGTAAATGTCCTATCAACAGGCTACAAATAGCTATTCAGATTGGTTTGTTTTTTGTTTAGCGACTTTTCAATTTATAGCACAACTTGCTCGACCAGGTAAGCAAAGAAGAAGGTATGGTTTTAGCTTTATTGTGCCCTAAAAATTTAATGTTTTCAAAAAGTTTTGAAACTGGCTTAAATATTAGTTGAGTATATGACTGTAATAAATCAGGAAAGAATATAGCATGATGGAGTACCATTCTGGATATATGACGTCCATAATTTGATGCATTTCTCTATTTTAAACAGAAAAAGCCTCAAAATGACCCATTTCAAGGGTTATTTTCCTTAAGAAAATAATGTCCACAGCCGTCGCCCACGTTAATTTTTAGATATACTGTGTAAAATTCTTTGAAAAATCATATATCTCAAAATCTTTGTGGGCGATGCCTGTGGACAATATTATCGGAAAGAAAATCCCATTGAAAATTAATGTCTTCTGCAACTTTTTAAGAAAATACGGGAAAATGTACAAGTTTATGACATCACAATTAGCATTTGGAAGGTCATGTGAGAAAAAAGATATGATCTTTCTGCAGGGAATTTCAATAATTCAAAAAGCATGAGTTTTAATTTTTTACATCACTTTTATTTTTGAGAAAAACACAGGGCAAGATTTGCATTGAAACCGTACCTTGTTCTTAGATAAAATTTGAAGCTAACAGCAGGCGCGGATCCAAGATTTTCCGGGGGGGGGGGGTTCCACCCCAGTCAATTCAGAATTTTCTTCACTAGCCAAAAAAAAAAAAAAAAAAAAAAAAAAAAAAAAAATTCGTAAACTCCTTTCCCAAACGTTTCGAACCCAGAAAATTTCTTGACAAGCAAAAAAAAAAAAAAAAAAAAAAACAAAAAAAGGGGGGGTCCAAAGTAATTTTTTATTTGTTCAGTATATACTTTTAATGACTTTGCAAATTCCGGGGGGGGGGGGGGGGGCACCTCCAACCCTCTAGATCCGCATGAACAGTATTGTAAGCCGTTACTTATGTCTGACGTCGTTTTTATGCTTTACACTTCATAGTACCTGAGCAGTTTTTCAATTGTGATATAGATATACATGTATTTTTAAAATTTCCTTTTTAAGAATAAAGTTTAAACTTTTGATGTAACAGCTGTAATTGCGGTTGTTTATATAATGACAGTTTATCAGTGTAACAAACTTTTTATTAAAATACGTCAAAGGAAAAAAAATCATGCAGTTAACACTTGTTCAGTTCCATATCTTTTCGTGACACTGTTGTGGTCTCAGTGTGATGATAAATAAACGCTTTCTAACGCTTAAATCGTAAAAAAAGTTTTCTATTTGTGGTAACTTCAGTTTGTTGTATTGAAGAGTTAAAAAAAAAAATAATCGCAGATTTCTTACTCATTGTGACGTCATAATCAAATGTGCACAAGAAAGTCGCCCAAATCATATAAATTGCGTACCCAGTTTTAACGACGTCAGCAAACCCGCGACCTACGTTAATTAAGTCAGGTAGGTCTTACACATACACACATTTGATACAGATATAAATGAATGTGCTGAAAGTCGACGTCAAAACAATAGAGCGTGTTTGGACCTCATCAGTGATTATAACTGTACTCCTGGATTTCAATGACACAAAGTGTACAAACAGTAGAAAATGCCATGATGAAAAGTTTCATGTTGGCTTTTATATGCAGTGAAAATAAATACTTTAAATTCGTAATTTCTTTAGATATCGATGAATGTGTCAGTGAACCTTGTCACAACAATGGTACATGTGTGGATCTTATCAATGATTATGAATGTGTTTGTGTTCCTGGATTTAATGGCACTAACTGCACAAACAGTAAGTTCATGAAGATAACATTTGAATTTTTACTGAACAGAAGGAAATATTTTTTATGTTTAGGACAGATGATAAAAACAAACTTTTATCAAAAATTTTGGGGAAAAAAATCTTATCTTGTTTATATTAGTAAAATAATAAGTTTATCCGCGTAGATTTTAGGGTTTTTTTATTCAAACTTTCACAATAATGGGATTTTAAGTGACAAAAAAAGTGTACACATTATTAAGGAGGAGTGCAGAAAGGTAGAATTTTGAGCATCATAGAAAGTTTACAAATTGTTCTGTTTTAGAATTTTTATACTTGCATCATTTACAATCAAAATAGGTCCAAAAATATATGCCAAACCAGGTACATGTATCAATTTTTTGTTTGTATCATCTGTCCTTAAGCTAACAAATAGAATATATGTTGACTTAGCAACAACGATTAAAGAGTTCTTTTTTTATTACATGTATAAACTTGATGTTTAACCTCATAGATATGGATGAGTGCGCCTCAGTACCATGCCAGAACAATGGAACCTGTATTGATTTGATCAATGATTACCAATGTCAGTGTGTTGTCGAGTTTAATGGTACAGATTGCTCAACAAGTAGGTGGAATAACTTGTGCCTTTTGCATTTCAAAATGTTAAGAATTAACTTGAGATTTTTATTTATTTATATAAATTCTTATACGTCATTTGAAAAGTATTTTATTACTATAATCATCATATTCAGAACAAATATATTTAACCCAATATGTTCTCCAATTATACTTTCAAATTATATCTATGCTTTTGAGGTAGAAACATATATTATCATTTTACATGTATTTTCATTGAAGAATCAAATTTAATGAAATACAAGCTTGTTTTGAACCTCGACGTGACAACAACAGAAAATTTGAGCATAGAAGCAGATTACATAAAAGTAGAGAATGAAGTTCAACAAGCAGTAAGTATACATACCACTCCTGAATTTAAAAATAATCATCCTTACCATTTATTACAAGAAGTCATCTGTTTGTATTTTACAGTCATCTGTTTGTATTTTACAGTTATCTGTTTGTATTTTACAGTCATCTGTTTGTATTTTACAGTTATCTGTTTGTATTTTACAGTCATCTGTTTGTATTTTACAGTTATCTGATATCTACAGTAAAAGGATCAAAGGATCAAAAGTCATTATAAAAAGCTTGAGGTATGTTTTCTCAAAGCAGCATGCTATCTTAAATAATGTTTTTTGAGTATACATGTATATGTTGAGGTATTTAATCTTGGAAAATTGTTATTAATAGTAATTGTTCATAAGGTCTGACGACATGTTCCTCGAATATCATTTCTACATCTCTTCGTAAATACAAAAAAATCTTTATGATTGTGTTGTAATTTCTAAATTAGTTTCAAAATGTCTCTGTAAAATTATTTACCAAAAATTTTGATATGAACTATTAAAAGTGGGACCCAGCTTGTTAAAGTACCAATATTTCAACAACAAATTCTTGGGAAATATGTATATAATGAAGGAGTATCCCTCGTGGCGTAGTGGTTAGAGAGTTTGTTCTAGAGTCGCGGAATAAGGGGTTTATCCTTGTCGCGGATTCGAAACCCAGTGCGGGACGTCGAGAAATGTCCTTCTGGTGAGATCTTAAAAATCGAGGTCCCCTGTCGCAGTGGGTTCCTGCGTGAAAACGATCCCTTACCGCTGAAAGGCCTTAAGTGCCGATTACAGGTCTAATTTGCTGCCCTCCATCGGCAAGTTGTGGCGTCTCAATGGGAGTGAAAAAATCTCGAAAGGAAAGTAAAACAAACAAATATAATGAAAGAACGTATCGTCAGACTTTAAAATAGGGTTTACTTAGTGATTTTTTTTTAATTTGTAAAAAATAAAATAAAATAAAATAAAATAAAACTTGTTACTCCATCTCTTCAAGGTCAGGTATTCCTGAGTGATCACTGTAGATAACAGTTTTATCCATCGAGAAATTATATTTTATAATTATATAATTATTTAGTATTGATGGGTCTTTTTGACTGCAAATTAATTTTCTTTTCTCCAAGAATTTAGATGTATATATATGTAATGAATGTAACAATCAATGTAACACAAACACGTATATTAAGATATGATTGAATAATTCCTTTCTCTTGATTGACTGAGATCCAATATTGTAGAAATCATAAGACTTTATGTTCACCTGCACGAAACCTTATAGGGGAACATTTTGCGCATAATTATTTTTTTTCTTCATTTGACCAAACTTCTTAATTGATACAATTGGTTTAGAAAGGTTTTTTAACCTGCAGGTGAACAAAGCATTTATTGTTTCTACATGGCAAATAGATAAAGAAATTCCAAATTAATACAACTGGTTATGATCATTTAAATAATGTTTATATCACTGTGTTCAGCTAAGACCAAATGGCAGATTGTGCTTTACTTATATTCGTCTATTATTATTCATTTATATAATAAAACGATTGCTGCTTTTTAAATCAATACGACGATTAAACAACGCACGAAGTACACTATCCCAATATATATGATATTGCTAGCCTTGGGTAGCTTAATCAACGTATTGATTTCAAAATAGCAATTGTTGTATAATAAAGTATTGATATATGTTGACTACAGGAAATATTTTGTTTATTTGAAAGGAAAGGCAGCTTAATTGTAGATTTCGACCTCATCATACCAGACAGCCCAACATCAAAGGTTGTCGTCGTTGACACAGTGTATAAGCTTGTAAACGGCCTGTTGTTCGTCAACTTCTCAGGAGAAATTGTCAACGTTACCACTGCCACAATACAACATTCAACATACGGCGAGGGTAATAAATTCGTTGTGTTCGTCTTATTTAAAAACTTCTAAACATGAGTCATGTAACAATTAAATCTATTCCACACATGTGTACAACTGTATATATACCATTTTTTCTATAGAAAACTTATTTACCCTATAGCTATGGTGCCTGTTTATTTGTAGTTATCATCACCAACTCAACTAATGGGTGTGCTGTTGTGAACTCACAAGGGGCTTGTGACGCGGGATATAGTTGTCAAGAATTCATAAATCAGACAGTTGCATGCATGTAAGTATATGATATGTACTCTTAGTTTTCTTTAATGTTCCATCAACTATATTAAGTTTTTGTAGAATGTTTCAGTCATTATGATAATTTCAGCCAAAGTGTTCCTAAGGAATCAAAACTAGACTAAAATACCCTTTTACTGAGCCTATTACAGAATTGAGACAGGAAAAAAATGTTGAATTTAAGGAATTACTGTCTAGTTCGTTTGGTATGCCAAAGCGTTAACGGCAGTTGGAATTGTTGGATAATTTGCATAATAGGCCCGTTATGCGTATATTATCCCACGTTTCCAACTGTCTTCAATATTAATTCCTGGCATAACAACAAAGTAGACAAGCATTTTATGTATTTCCATAGTTCCTGTCAACTGAAGTCAGACGCAATATCAGCCGCAGGAAGTTGACAACCATATTAAGCACTTGACCATTCACTTGGCAAATTTATATTTATTATATCTTAAATATAGAGAAGTCTACACTCCTTACTTTCAAAGACTTATCACAGAGAAAACAGAAATGTGAATATATAAATTTGCAAATTATCAATAAGTATTATTCTATAAGTTCTTTAATTTGTGTTTCAGTCCTATTGTTAGTAAGTATAAATGCTTTCTATGTTTATGTTATAACAATGCTATGATATATTCTACCCGTATACTTTTTCTTAGATTTCTGTAAATGAAATATATAAGTATTATAAAGAATTGTGAAATTGAACTTATAAATATTTGTTTTCTTTTTTTTTTTATTCAACTTGTTATTGTTTTTACTTGATATCGATTTGTATTTTTAAATATGAATGAAAGACTGTGAAAATGAGTTGTATAGCTTGTATTTATGTGTTCTATGTGTACTAATGATTGTTTATAGTTCATCTACTAAAATGTCAAATATGTTATTATTCTGAATAATATTCAATATTGTTTAAATATTTTATATTTATATTTAGTTATTATACATGTGAAATAAATACTTCTTCTGTCATTATTTACGTTTACAGGATAGTAACAATTTATTTTCTAATTTCAGATTGTTCATTGCAGAGAAGAATCAGTGATAAATTCTCTCTCTTTAAGATGAAAAACATAAATATTTCATAAGCATAATTTCCAGAATCATTTTGAAATATTTCCTCTTTAAATAACAATTCCATTTAATAATGATACTCTGTTTATTTCAATCTTTAAATTGCACATTGTATTTTTACAGGTCATCATGGAATGATGCTGATGCGAGAAGATTATTGTAATTGAAGAATTCATCACTAAATGAATTCTTGTGAATTCTTCAATATTTACGCATTTATACAATATTTATATTGATCATTGTTCTGTCTATTAAATTCATTTCTTGTTGCAAACATTGTTCTTGTCCCTGTTTTATAGTCCCCGAGGGCCTCTACATCCCAGTAGCTAAGTACATCTGTACTAGTTTAATAATACGGATTTATCTTTAATTGCTGTGGTAACCTTTAGAAATTTATTTCAATATTAAGGATTATCTCCCTCATGCATAGTTCTGATCCTTCGACGTATCTGGCTCCAGTCTTTGGTACTTTTTTCAGCTCTTCGAAGTCTTTTTTATTTAAATATTTTGGATTTCCATCCTTTCGGCATGAGCATCACTGAAGAAACATAATTTTCGAAATGCGCATCTGGTGCATCAAAATTGGTACCGTATATGATTTACATAGCAATTATATCTACAAACGGTGACCGGTTGCCATAGACAACTAAGGTGATTGCTTCGTGATCGAGAGGTATCGGGTACAATTCTCGTTCCCGAAGCCGCGTCAAACCTACGACGTAAATAAAGATAGTGACTGTCCCCTCGCCAGTCGCCTGGCATTAGAAGTAAAATTCTCGAGTCCTTCGGATGAGACCTTAACAACCAATTCAAGGTCCCGTCACGGTATACGTTGGCACGATAAAGGACTGTCACTGCTTGATGGTCCTGGGTGCCAAGTATAAAGGTTTTAATTTAAAGCCTTTCACCGTTTCCCATTGTGACGTCTCATATTAGGAAAACATTTTCGAAAGTATGTAAAAAAAAACCAAATAATTGATCATTTATAGATTATAGATACTCGCATAGTAATATCGATAAGCAAAATGTGAGTTTGCTACAATGAAGAGTCGTGAAAATAAGGTTTAAAATTGTCACAGTATGACTTTAAACTTTCAACGGAAACATGCTCGGTTATAATACACTGTATGGAAAGTGCTAATAGAAAATCTACTTGATTTGGATCACTATAGCTGTACTTTTGATAGGTTATTCGAAATTTCTGTCGGCACATTAAGCCAAAAAATGTCATTAATGTACGTTTTCTTACACCTAATAAAACTGTTTCAACTAATATGAAATTTCTTTTTGTTATTTTTAAAGTTTACCATATTTTTGTGTCATCTACTCCTCCTAAACATCGGTAGCATGCGTTTTTCACGCGTCTGATGGTCATTTTTCGATTAATCACCCACTTAATTGGACTGTGGACATTAATTAAATAAAATATTTATTGTTAAGTTTTAAATGAACCATTATCAAACGTTAGCAATCAGATTTAATCACAAGGTCTTCTTTAAACCTTGACAATTACATCAAATATGTATCTACCCCAGTTTTCGAGAGCTATTTTATGCTTGCGTAGAAAATATCCAGAAAGCTATCTTTGTAGTGCACTCAGCAAAATAATTCATTGATGGTAGGTTGTGTTCATAACAGTCTGGCACACTCTTTTCTTCCTCAAACTCCTCTTACAAATTAACAATGGCCGATTCATCTTTTGGAATATGATTGGTGGTGTTTTGTGCAAGGTTTTCATCTTGGGGACCAATTATAGGAGCAAAATTAAGACAAGTTTTTTTCTCACTCAAAAATCTTTTTTAAACAATCCATGCTTCATGTGTACATTAAACTTTGACCACATGAACTTCAGATAGGTAAGATAAGATAACATAAGATAGACTCTTATTATAAATATCTTGCCAAAACAATTGACAAAATGAGAGTATCTTCTAAATCAATGATATTCTAGTACATCCAAAATACACTTCCATAATTACATATTGACATTAAGATTTTAGTTATACTATGAAATATAATATGTTTTGAGATACAGAGAATACAAATCTTATATGGTACCAATTTTAATGCACCAGATGCGCATTTCAACAACTTATGTCTCTTCAGTGATGCTCATGCCGAAACTTATTTTTACAGATTTAATAGCCTGAATTTCAAATTTAATCTTTATTTTGATTTTTTTTTAATTTGTGTTTTTACTTTGTATATATGACCTGGGATTTTAATAACTGCTTGAAGAGCCTAACATGGCGAAAGCGCTTTCAGTGAAGAGAGAGAATTATCTAGACAAGCACAAAAATATGTGTCTGCCTTGGACTATTTTATTCACTTTTCATGAGTGTTGGTTATAAAATTTCATCTTCGATGTCTTATCAACCAAACGTATTATCGGGGAAAGGGTAGAAATTAGAGCATTTGATATAGTCTGGAAAAAAGCATTGTATAAAATTTATTTTTTTCACATTGGTGAGAGGTTTTCTCTGCAATATTGTTGATTCTTGATTTTACTTATATTGTACAGTTGTTACTTAATAAAACACAAAAGCTTTGCTCAAATGTTGTTGTAAACGCTTCCATACTAGGTCTCATGGGATGAACAGTACTAGAAGTAAAAACTGCAGAATAATATTTTTTAGAATGATATTTCTATGTTTTTGATTCATTGAATTTAATTCAGCTCATACAAATGACAACTGCATAAGACTGTGTAATGATGTATCGATATTATGATCATTTAAACCGCATGTATTAATTCTCTTTACTCAAAGCTGTATGGTTCAATCTTTTCGCTTTCAGAAAAAATCTTAATTTATCCCATTTTGTTTTTATAGTGAAAAAGTGTCTCGCTTTCCAAAATTTTAGCTTCTTTTTGGCTGAGAAAGACATTTGAAGGTTAACAAAATTATTATTGTGAATCCACCGTATTTACAAAGCCTGTTGATGTTGGCTTGTGCTTTTAGTATATTCTCTTTAATTGAAAATCTAATAAATTAACATGATATATTAAAAAATTATGGCAATTCGGTAATTTTGGCTGCATCGAAGCGCAATAGGAAGAAAACAGCGGTCATACACTCTACCTATTTCAACAACAGGTTTTCTGATATTATTTATTTAGGCAATGCTAATCCTCTACCGGCATTTTACAACTCATGGAAGAGGAACAAAATGCAATTTTCGTCATTCTGTAACTCATCATAGTTGATTCAAGATCTACAAAAGTATAGAAAAAAAGTCTAGATTACCAAGAAGCACTGTCAGGGTGACAGACAGACAAATGGACAGACGGCAAGGAAACTTAGAATCTCCTTCAGTAATAGCAGTAGAGCACTAATAGACAACATGGTTGAGTCATGAAGTCATATCCAGTAAAATTCGAATGTTTTTACTTGCGAAAATGTGGAAAGAATTAACGTGTTTAATAACAATTTAGGCACAAGATATAGGATAATAGGATGATCTCAAATACAAATATTTTTAACAGTCAATCTAAAGTCTCCACAACACACAAAAAAACCTGTCTTTTTAAAAAGGTTTTTGTTTCTGTAAGGAAGACATTTTTAATAATTAACATCTTATTATCCATATCCAGAACAGAGTATTGTACATTCATAATACGTACTTTACGCTTTTAAATTTGACTTTCAAAAAAATGTAATTAAAAAGGTAAAAATCCATTCATTGCGTTGATCTGTTTATTTCATTTTCATTTATTCATTTTTAAAATACAGATTATCTTAAGTTCATAAAAATGCCGAAACAATATAATAAAACCCTTTAAAATTATAAAAGTTAGAAGGAAAGACAACAAACACCTTGATTAAGCTATTAAGCGAAAGTTTTTGTTTAGTTGGGCAAATTTTTTATCTTATGGTGTTGTGGTAGTTTGAAAGTTAGTCATTTTATACGCGCCAAAGATAACGGTATATAGTTTGGAATGCTTGAAAGATTACTAAATTGCGGACTCATTATTTGAAATTTAATATACACATTGGGAACAAAATATCAATTCAGTGAGAATCCAAATTTAGGAGATTAATTGTCAATCCACAGGCCTCTTCATTTTGATACATGAATAAAATTTAAAGGTCTTAAACAAGAGTAATTATAAGGTTTGTTGAAATCATACAAATTCTTTGTTGGTCACTATGTAATTAGCTAGCCTGAAATACTACAGACAACCATGAAAACAGAGTAGCCAATGTCATTCTAAAGCAGGGATGAAAGAAATGCAGTTTTTAACATGAAATTACGATTATGATGCTTTTATACATTAAGTGTTCAATCCTTGTTTTACTTGCTGCACCATTTGTGAAGTTAAGCCATAATAAATTTTGTGGCGGCTTGATGTCCTGGAAGGCCATTAATGAGACACAGGTAAATTTCTTTTAAATTGTATAAAACAAACTTGTATTAAAACAGATGGTTGCATATATATTGAAAAAATATTTCTTTACTCACAGATAACAGTACACCATCGCCTGTCATTTGTGCATAATGACAGCTGTCCGAATAGCAACTCAAGTGCCGTCCTACGTTGTTCCACGGGAGGTGGTTGTAATGGTAGTGTTACAATGATTGGCATATGTACGGAGCATAATTCCACTGAAAACTGGGCAGATAGCG